GAGTTCAGTTTAGTCTCATCGATCGTATAACCAATAGGTGTGCAACGATTAACACCATCATTTCAACAGTCACAACAAAATTTCAGTGAGACACTGACGTCTTTTTCACTCCCATCTCCGTTGTTTATCCATTTAGGCTGATTCAGTCATTTCTGGTATACACTACCATTATTTAAGTTGATTTGAGGAAATTTTCCATTAAAGATAAATAAAAATGGTTGTAAAGCTTTTGAAAATATTTTTTTTTCTATCCCTTTATGTTCCCAGTGGAATGTAGGGCTTCAACCTTCAGCTCTGAAGTTCCAGTAGCAATGCTGTTTTATATGCAGTAGAGTTGCTAGCTTCACACCCAACCTTCCATCTTTGCTATGTCTACCTACCACCAGCTAAGTGACGTTAAGGAGTGCTTCGGCCGTTGGTTAAACCAATTTCTGCGTGCGTGGTTGGAGGAGTATTCAACCACTAAACCACCGGCTGGTGCATCCGTGGCTCAGCGGTAAGATGCCCAATGACCATGCATGTGGTCCGGGATTCAATATCTGACTGGCGGTCATCTTTACCTCCCCTAGGCGGTTGTAAACCTGACAAAAAGGGAAGGTTGAGCGTGAGGCTAGCAACCCCACCCCATAAAATATACCATTACTACTGAAGCTTTAAAGCTCAAGCATGAAGGCCTGTGTTCCGCGCGGAACGCTAAGGAATAAAATAAATAATAATAAAACCATCGGCTCATCCTCCTGCTTTGTGCCTGCAATCGCTGATGAGTAGTGATATTCTCACTGACTGGAACCCGACACGTATTGTTTCCAACGCCAAAGCATTATCCACAAAGACTATGAGAGCCACCTCGTGTACAACGGGTATCAGGTATAATTTCTTTTTGGGTTAATTTTGCACTTTCCACTAATTGATTATGTTGAACAGAAATACCTGGTCTCTTTTAACATATCATCTCCTAGCATGGACTCTTCGACGCATCCGGAATTCCACTGCTATTATCATTGTCAACCAAAATATAGATTAGTCCCTAGACATCGTTGAGGCGATATGTCAGCAAGCACCGAGCACTTTTTTTTCCTACACGTTCCCCAGTGGAACATAAGGCTTCAAGCTAGTGGCTTGAAGTTTCTGTAGCAGTATTTATTTTACAGTATATATATATATATATATATATATATAAGCTATATACTACTTGATTGATAGATATGAGTACAACTCATGCCAACCAGTATTGCTTACTAACCGAATCGAAGTGATCAGCTGTTTCACCCGTTTTGGAGCCAAGTTTACCATCGGTGTGTCCACCCGGTTTGTGACTTAGTTCAGAGAGCTGAATCAATTCCAATCACCCGAACCATAATTTGCTAATTGTGAACTGCATTTAAAGTTTCGTTGGTGGCATAGCAGTTAAGACGCTCACCGACCATGCACATGGTCCAGGATTTGGTCCCCGGCTCACGCACTCCTCTACCTTGCCAAGCCAGTAGTAAGACTGGTAAAGAGGGAAGGTTGGACGGGCGTGAAGCTAGCAACCCCATCCTGTAAAAATAATCACCAATTCCACCGAAACTTCAAGCTGGCTCTAGCTTGAAGCTGCCCTATGTTCCCCTGGGAACGTGAAGGAATAAAAAAATATTTCAAAGACTCATGTATAATTTTCAAATGCAAGTTTTGTTGTTTTACACCAAGCAAAGGAAACTTTGTGTTATTTATTAGAAGAGGAAAAGAGGAAATTTATAACCAGTTTATATATATACATATATATATATATATATAAATTCTCAAGGTCTTTATTTTGAAAAAGAAAGTAAAAAGAAAGATGCAACGCATATAAGAAAAAAAGTTTATCTTTAGTTTTGTTTATATCTGTTTATATTTTCGAATTGTCTTGAAAAGATGTTTTTATTCCTTCCTTCCTTTATCTCCTCTTGTTATCTGCGTTTAATGTTTATTTGGTAGAAGAGTTAATTTTTATCCACTTTAAAATTCTGTGTGTGAGTGTAGGAAAATTTCACTTTCCTCTCAGTCCAGTATTTTTTGTACACCAAATAATCAAAATGATATAAAGATATAAAATTACAGTGTATTTGGTAATAAACATTCCTAATGTTTCACATCATCAATAATATTAGTATCCTTTTTCACCGGTGATTGACTGATACGTTATATATATAATACATGTTCCCCTTTATGAATATGAATATAAATCATAAAAACAACAGGTCGTACAGATTAAAATGGTATCGTCGTTTTAATTTGTCGACTTTTCATCATCTGCGTACAGTGTGTTCTCTGAGCTGGTTGGTTTAGTCGTCCTTCTGGTGTAGACGTGATATCCGGCTAGCTGGCTATCGACCAAAGGACGGGTGTACTGCTCATCAGTCCGCTCCGTCCTCCTTTATGGCTGTGAAACCTGGCCATTGATAGCAGAAGACATGAAAAGATTAACTGTCTTTGACCATAGGTGCCTGCACCCTATCTCCTGTGTGAAGTGGTATAATAAGGTGAGCAATATTGAGGTTAGGCGTCGAGTGCTAGGTAAGGCGGGGAAATCAATCGACGAGACTGTGAAATTACATCGACTGAGATGGTTAAGACATGTGTTACGTATGCCTAGTCATCGCCTTCCTCGACAATGGGCAATGTTAGCTGACATAGGGTCAGGCTGGAAAATAGCTAGCGGCGGTCAAACCAAAACATAGCCTCACCAGCCAATAAAATCCACAACAGTTAGTTTAAGCCACGTAGGAAGGTGTAGACTTCCTGACTGGTTGGGGTCCTCGGGACGGTAAAAACCAATGGCTGGAAACAATTGGTGACATGGCTCAAAATCGTTCTCAATGGCTGGCGCAGATGCATCCACTCCTTGTGACTTATGATTCCCAATGAAACTATGTTCTTCGTTATTACTATTCCATTGTCTCACGCCTCTCTTTACTGTCTATATTATGCATTTCTTCTCTTGATTTGTGTGCTACATGGAGTGTGGCGACTTGAACTGTCGAAAACAGACAGACATATACAGATACATTCGCTCTTTGTGATCTCCTATATCCATTTTTAGTCCTCATGTTTTTCCATGTTAATATTCTTTCTTCTTCACATTTCTGCCTAATATGGTTCTTTTGACTCCTTTTTTTTCTCTCGCTCTCTCTGTTTTGTATACCTTTGTGTACTACTTATGGCGAGTTGAACTGGTGGTGCATTTCTGCACAAAGTTCCACGTTGAAACTTAGTCAATCAGTCAGTTAGTAACTATTTTAATGCCAGACTACTTTTTTGTATTATAAAGAGTTGTTTCACAAATCACTTATGCCTGCCTCTCAAGGATTCCTGCTTTCAGTCAAGAAAATCTTGTTATTTTGTAGCTAAAATGATTTATTTGCCTCTTTTCTGTAATTGCATAAGACGATTCCTATCTACATACAGGATCTAGATGAATTTCACTTCTGTTCAAAGTGTAAAATGGATACAGTAAGGTGACAACCTTTTTTTCCCTCTGTCTTTAACTAGTTAGTTAGTTAGTTCTTTTGTCAATGTGTATCTGTGAGTGTAGAACAACATAGTCTTCGGGGTGTTGTCATCTAAGTTGTTAAAATATCCTTTTGGGTCATTTCGAGGTGTTGTGATTAATTGTGTTGTTGAAGATATGCAAATAAACGAGAAACACGTATATACATATATATATATATGTATATATAATATATTTATATTGACTTTCTCATGTAAGTGAATCGTAAGAGGAAGGTTTAATTGTTGCCTGTCAAACAAGGTGATGAACTGGTAAGGATACGTAAATGTGATTAATTCACTGCGTCCACTGAAACAAAAGGGACGCTGAGTTTCTTTTTAACATTACTTGCTTTTAAGTATAAGAATAAAACTTGGGTACTGTGGTAGAGTGTAATTCCATTATGGGTAAATTTTATTTTGATAGAGTCTCACAGTGTTATACAGTAATATTTACTGATGACGTTTCGAGCACAATTTATTGCTCATAATCATATCCCAGTGACTTTCTTGATATAGTCAGATTTATCCAAGACTACTGTCGAATTTCCTTTGTCAGCTTTTGCGATGACAATATTTCTATCCTGTTTTAGATTAATTAAAGCTTCTCTTTCCGATTTTGTCAAGTTTGATTTTGCCTTCTTTTGATTTTTTAGGGTTAATGCACATTGTGCTCGAACCTCTTCCGCTGTTGTCTTATCTATTGAACCTAGTGCTACTTCTATGTTAGGAATGACATCCTCTGGTTTTAGTTTATTAACTGTTACGTTGAAATTTAGTCCTTTCTCCAGTACTTTTATCTCACTGGAGCTTAGTTTCCTTGATGAGAGGTTGATCACCCACTTTGTTTTGTCGATAGAAGATGAAGCATTGGCATCAATTTCATTTGCTGTGTTCTTTTCTTCAATAAGTTTGTTGAATTTTTTGATTTGTGTGGTTTTTGATTTTCTTAATGCAGATTCTCTAGCTTTGTTGGATGTTTCAAGAATAATTGTATAATCTTTGTCATTGATCATATCTTTGAGGTTGTGTTTGAGTTTTTCAATTTCATTTCGTATATTATTTAGTTTTACAGTAACTCTGTGTAATTCTTCTCTTAGATATAATCTGCTCGAGCTCGCCTTGTAACCAGAAGGTCCTGGTTTTGAACCCCGGTGGGTGCGTTCTGATGAAGAGTCCCACACCAGTATGAAACAGCTGTCCAGTACTATCTACAGGTTTTTCAATGGTTCTCTAACTGATGTCATCTCAGGATGAAATTCTCCAATTCATATAATGTTTTACAAATCATGGATACTACCCATCAGGATATTAGACAGGAGATGATTATGAGCAATAAATTGTGCTCGAAACGTCATCAGTAAATATTACTGTATAACACTGTGAGACTCTATCAAAATAAAATTCGCCCATAGTGGAATTGCTTTTAAGTAATAAATATTACTTAACTACAATTGTGTTAATATTTTTTTATTCATGTATATTTTCAGCCTATCTGTCAAACTGTTACTCGCCTGCATCAGCAGCAGCCTATGCTGAAACCCATTATGTTTCCTGTACTATATCAAATCCAAATGTTGTTGGCTTTCGTGGTGTTGGATCTTGTATTGTCAATAACAAGGCAAATAACCTATATGAATTATCACCAACAAATCATCATCTTTCAAAGACATATCTCTTACCAAATGATCAAAATGCAACAGAATTTCGTGAATCAACGTGTTGTAGTGCCAACGGTGGTGGAGTTCATCGTCTCAGTCCATTGGGTGGTAATGCTTATCCAAATACCTCAGCAGCAGCAGTTATAGCCAATCCTGGACAATATCCATCGCATATTCGAGTTAAAAATGGTCAATCATTATTTATTGCTGGTGGAAGTAGCAGCAGTGGATTATCAGGTACAAGTGGTCTAGGAAGTACTGCAATAGGAAGTGGAAGTGCTAACTTTCCTGGTTATCCACGACCTGGTGACACACATGCAATGTAGGTATTTGTAACTCTATGTGAAGGTTTATCTTTATCATATTGTATTGTTTATTATCTTTTGTAAAGCAAATAAGAAGTAGAGGTCTTTTTATTAACTGATATAATGTTTTCAAGTATTGGTTTTGTAGGGTTTTTGTTTCATTGGTTGGAGGATTTCACCATGAGCTAACATTAGTCCCAGTGGTTTAATGGTCTACAAGCTCGCCCTGTAACCAGAAGGTCATGGGTTCGAACCCTGGCGGTGGGTGCGTACTGATGAAAAGTTCCAAACTGGGCCGAAACAGCTGTTCAGTACTCCCTGCAGGTTTTTCAATGGTTCTCTAACTGATGTCATCTCAGGATGAAATTCTCTAACTAATATAATGTTTTACAAATCATGGATACTACCCATCAGGATATTAGACAGGAGAGAACGAGAGGCCCAACAAAGGTATCTTTCTGGTGACTTTATCCTCAACAGTTGCTCAATCGCATTTATATGTATATTTTTTTCTATTGCTTTACGTTCCCAGTTGACCATAGGTGTTCAAGCTAGAGCTATGAAGTTTCGGTAGCAGTGGTATTTATTTTTATGGGATGGGGCTGCTAGCCTCATGTCCAGTCTTCCCTCTTTACCGGTCTTTACTGGCTTAGCAAGGTAAAGAAGTGTGCCGTCTGGGAATCGAACCCCGAACCACTTGCGTGGTTGTTGAACATTCTACTGCTGTGTCACCGATGCATATATATATATATATATATATATATATAGTTGCAATTATTATTTAATTCAACACAGTAACTAAGGGGGACAATAATTTTCAACTTCATAGGAAAGTTTGAATATGTGAATGTCGATCACAAGGGATATGGAAATAAAATTACATATGATTAGAAAGTAGTTGCTCAATATGTAAAATAGGTTTTATTGAAGACAGGGGTGAATAGGATGGGCATGGAAGTAAATTGAAATAACTGGTTTCCTATCACTGAGGATGAGAAATGAGGGGAATGAAAAAGAAACGATAATTATGATGTCAAACAGAACTAGGTACTTAAGAAATATAGAGATTGGACTAGTTTCTTGTGAAAACATCTCCGGATTCTTGATGAATATGTTGAGGGCTTCTGAAGTACCAATTACTATCTCCTTTGATCTACCTACCTCACTCTGTTGAATTAAATAATAATAATTACAATTATGTAAAGTTATGTATAAAAATGCGATTGTACAGCTTTTGAGGATGAAGTCTCCGAAAAGATGTCTGCGCTGAATTTCTTGTTCTTTTCTCTCCAATTTCCTTCACTTTCCAACGTAAGTACTTTGTACTATTTCGCACTTCTTTCTTTCTAGAATTTGATAGGCATAAAGGACTTCTACAAATAGGTAGGAAGATATTGATTAGCTACGTTTCTCAAAAACACACACGCACAATAACGTTAAGTGTACTATTATGTTGCTTTATTCACAAAAATTCCTAGTACTTTGCAAGCATGATTTCTGCTCAAGTTGGTTATGATTCTGCACGAATACCTTAATTCGTTGTTATTATTTATTATCATTTGATTTCATTACGTTCCCAGTGGACCATAGGGGTTCAAGCTGGAGCTATGAAGTTTCGGTAGCAGTGGTGTTCACTTCTACGGGATAGGGTTGCTAGGCTCATGCCCAACCTCTCCACTTTACCAGCCTTTACTGGTTTAGTGAGGTTTGGGAGTGCGTCAGCCGAGAGTCGAACCTCGGACTACGTTCGTGGTTGGCGAGAGCTCTACCGCTAAACTAACCACAAACGTACCGTAACTCACTGTATTTTTTTATTAAATGACTTCAGCTATTTGTTCCTCGTTCCCACTCCTCCTTCGAATGCACTATCCCTTACACAATTATGGGCTCATAGTTTGATGAATTTATAAATCTGTACCGGTTATTTGAGCTTTGACTAACTCCCAATTAACCAAATACTTGCACTCATATTTATTATTATGAAATGCTTGTGCTTTGAGACGTTTTCTAAATAATTTGCTTATTTAAAGCATTTGGTTCCCCTCATGAATTTATAAGAAGTAATAAGAAGACGTAATTTATCTTAAACTTGTCGTGTATTTGCGCAACACGTTTCTAACGTCCTGATCACACACACACACTTGTTATATATATTTATATAAAAGGCAACATCCGAGTATATATGATCAGCATTTTATCAATATAGGTCAAGACGTTTACAACTTGTGATTGCAGATGAGTGGTAGGAAAATGAGGTGAGGAAAAAGTGGGGGAGGATGAAAAAAATGATTTAAATGAATTTTGGTTTTAAAATTGGATCCGTAAGGCGTGTTCTGATTAATACCAAATAATGTTTGAGTACATGAAACAGATATGTAAGGGTATTTTAATGGCTAAAACTTCAACGAATCGTAGAGACTGCGTCATACAGTTGAATTCATTATTACCTTTTAACCCATTTATGAAAAAAGTTTAGATGATACACCTAAATTCGGTTAAGCCCCTTAGAAATCAAAATATTTAAACCTGTTTTGTGTTGAAAAATTGCCATTGATGTGAACCCACCTCGTTAATCCATTTTTAGAACTAATGCTCATTTTCAAGTAATATCTTGTAGGGATTTGATTGATTGGTTACAGGATTTCATCATTGCTGACATTGGTTAGAGAACCTTTGGAAAGCCTGCAGAGAGTACTGGACAGCTGTTTCCTCCTAGTTTGTTAAGTAGTGACCAGTAGGATGCAGCAAGTCGGGTGTTAGGAAAAATACTTGCCGAAGACATTGGCTAGTGGTCGCGCTATGTCGTCAATTGGCAGAAGTTAGAATTCATGGATCCATTGGATCGGGTCCCACTGACGTAGTGGTCTACGAGCTCGCCTTGTAACCAGAAGATCTTCAGTTCGAACCCCGGTGAATGCGTTCTGATGAAGAGTCCCGAACTAGGACAAAACAGCTGTCCAATACTCCCAGTTTTACCAATGGTTCTCTAAGCAGTATCAGCTAATGATGAAGTCCTGTAAGGTTCATTTCACCCAAAAATATATTTACCACTGTTTTTCCTTAGCGTATTTTGCTACCTCTAATCTGTGGTCGTGATACGTAGACATTTTGACCTATATTGATAAAATTGTGATCGGAATGCTCGAAGTGTGTTGCGTAAATAAATTACACGTTAACACGAGGTGGCTCTCGTTGCCTAAGTGGTCTAGTGGGTAACGTTTTAGTGTTTGAAACTATAGGTACTGGGTTTGTGCCTCAGGGGGGGAACAGCATCACTCACTGGGGAATGCAAGTACATCCAGCCGAAGAGTCCCAAATAGGACGAAATGTGCATCCTTGATACCACAGCTAATGATCATTCACCAAAACACTGAACTTGTTGAAGTTTAGCTAACCGTACTCTTTGGCCTTCTACTTTGAGTCATTGGCGTAAAACTTTTCGTTTCTCAATTTGTTTTCAATCTGATTTTTATTGTTTTCACTTGTACATTTCGGTTGAATAAGTGAAAATGAAAATTTTTTCAGGAATGAGACGAATAATTTTGGTATGGTATCAGTTAATTGTTATGCTGTGACAGACGTATGCAATATGAAGTTAGAAACTCATTTGAAAACTGACTACATAAATCAAAATGGTGATGCCTACCTTCCCTTCCCTTCCCTTCCCTTCCCTTTTGATATTTTCTCACTTAAAGCTTGTGTGAGATTATAGTAACACTATGCGTTGATAAAATAAAACAGAATATATACTTGTGTATTATATTTACAAGGAAGAGGAAATCGCATTTTGGTGGTCGATTTTAGTCTGGGAATTTTTTTCCCCAAATAAGGTGTATTCTCTTTTTTCCAGACATATGCGTATCCTGTTTTGAATTCAATGTATCAACACACAATCTATTAATTTTAAGCATTTTGATTAATGTATTTTCCTATTGTATTCTGTATTCGTTTAATGCTTGATTGTTTTATTTCCTGTATTTTTGTTGTATGTGTGTGTGTGAAATTCGTTAGTTATACGTCTCTAGACGAGGCAGTAAACTGGTAGCAATGATTATATAGCATATTTCAACGTAAATCGTTTTTTCACGAACTAACATTAGTTAGAAATCAGTGTGAATCAAGAAGCACTGGATGTGTGTTTCGTCCCTGTTTGAGACTCTTCAACAGCGTGACCTATACCCCACCGCCACCTTCAGGTTACGAAGCCAAGGTTGTATACTGTCCAGACACTTGGGCAGGAATTCAATTAACCTGTGAATTCTAATTTCGTCAATTCGTGATTTCGTTCCACTTTTCAACTGGTCAGTACTTTTCGTTGAAATGGTGGATCCCACCGGTCACGAATTCTCAGTACATCCATCTAGTAACTGGAAATTGATCTTTGGATTGATTCCATTATGACAAAATCCAAATTCCTACAATATCCCATAATCTGTATAACGTGATATATACTAGGGTATTAATTGTTTGAAATAAACAATATGTATAGAGATATGAATCCTTGTACCTTTCACTTTTGGTAGCAATAACAGGATAAAAATGAGGTGTAAATTTGACATCTTGTTTAGTGAACGTTATTCACATTGATTCCATGATTAAAATTTGCCTAATGGCATGCACTGTTGATTGATCTGAGTAGGCGGAAAGCTCTCATGTGGGATAGTAGTGACCAATGGTCAGAATATGGTGGTCTAAACCTCTAACAACCAGTTATACACCTGTTTGGAGTGGACTTCATCATCAGCGTACTCGGTTTGGCTTAGTTGTCGTTATGATAAATAGGTTAGCGAGTTTAAGTTCTTAAAAGTTTCTTAACATCGACAGTATTCATCACTTCTTGATTTATGGGTCTTCTTTTATTAATAACTTTAAAGTTGATCGACCACATACTGGCAACTTGCGCCATCTCTGGTGTAGACGTGTACTGCTCAGCAGTCCTCTGTGTCTTTTTTCATGTCATTGAGATATGGAGACTGAAAACGGCATCCGTTTCCTGAGTTAATTGTTATAATATGGTGAGTAATATTGAGGTTAGGTGTAGAGTGTTGGGTAAGGAGGTTGAGATAGTTACGACACGTTTTGTGCATTCCTAGGCGTTGCCTCCCTCTATAAGCAATGTTAGCTAAAATATGATTAAGTTGGAAAAGAATTAGGGGTGGTCAAACCAAAACCTGACACCAGTCTATGAAGCCTTTGACGATTATTTGAAGCCAGGCACGTAGGGAGGTGTAGATTGCCTGCTTAGGGTCCTCGGGATGCTAAGAACCTATGGCTTGTGGATGTTGGCGATATGACTGAGAACTGTTTCTAGGTGATGAAGATGCATTCACTCTTTGTAATCTCTCAAATCAATTAAATCCTCATGTTCTTCCGTGATATTGCTCTTACTCCTTTACATTTCTGCTGATTTCGGTCCTTTGAACCAATTTTTATTGGCTGTATGGAGGGAGTATGGCATGTTGAATTAGTCGGTCGGTCTGTTTTCGACATAGAACTTTGCACATATGTGCGGCTGTTCAAGTCGACACACTCCCTCTTTGTAGCACACAAAGCAAGAGGAGAAAGTAGGAGAAATGCATAATATAGACAGTAAACAGAGGTGTGAGACAAAGGTATAGTAATAACGAAGAACAAAACAGTTTCATTGGAAATCATAAGTCACAAGGAGTGGATGCATCTGAGCCAGCCATTGAGAACGATTTTGAGCCATGTCACCAATTGTTTCCAACCATTGGTTTTTACTGTCCCGATGACCCCAACCAGGAAGTCTACATCTTCCTACGTGGCTTAGACTAACTGTTGTGGATTTCATTGACTGGTGCCATGTTTTCGTTTGACCGCCGCTAGCTCTTTTCCAGCCTGGCCCTATATCAGCTAACATTGCCCATTGTCGAGGAAGGCGATGACTAGGCATACGTAACACATGTCCTAACCATCTCAGTCGATGTAATTTCACAGTCTCGTCGACTGATTTCCCTTCCTTACCTAGCACTCGACGCCTAACCTCAATATTGCTCACCTTATTATACCACTTCACGCGGGAGATAGAACGCAGACACCTATGATCGAACACAGCTAATCTTTTCATGTCTTCTGCTCTCAATGGCCAGGTCTCACAGCCATAAAGGAGAACGGAGCGGACTGTTGAGCAGTACACACGCCCTTTGGTCGATAGTCGGATATCACGTCTACGCCAGAGACGGCGTAAACTGGCATATGCGAAACTAGCCCTCTGTATTCGTACTGAGATTTCGTCAGAGATCAACCCGCTGGCGTTGGCTGATGGTACTTCCCAAGTAAGTGAAGCGGTCAACGTGCTCTACCACTTCACTTCCTATTTCTAATCTAGGAGTCGGTGTAGTCCAATCCTGTAACATCATCTTACATTTTACAGGGACATCACCTTACATTTTACAGGGTGTTGATTTAGTGCTTTTTTGTGCAAAGTTCTATGTTGAAACTTAGTCATCATATCGGCAATAAGTTTTTCATTACCAACAGCCTATTAATTAAAGTTACTTGTTATGGTAATACGTAAATTTTTATGTCATTCTTTTTTCGCTCATTTTCATATGTTTGCAGCAATGGATTCACATCTGGCAGTGATTCATCCAACTGTTCAAATCTACAAATGAATATGATGCTTCAAAATAATAATAATAATAATAATAATAATAATAATAATAATACTTCAGCGTATTCATCTCCATCAGAACAACACATTATTTCTTCTAATTCAAAGCCAGTATCTTTTTCAAAAAATCCTTCCTCATCATCTTCTTCATGTACTTCAAAGAATGGAATGATGATGAAAGAGTCGGAGCATTTTTCAGGTCGCCTTAATGACACTAATAATAATTCAGTGTCAAAATCATTTCAATCCACCTTACCAGAACATATTTCGTCCAACAATTGTATGCAGTTGTCATCATTATTCAGATATGATGAACTGTTGTCCCCGCAACAGTCATCAAAGAGTCCCTTAGTTGTCTGTAATCATCCAATCATCTCGGGTAGAGTAAATTTTCATGATTTCCCTGAACAATCAACACCACAGTCTACACAGTCAAACACAACATCACTGGTGCAACGTAATCATCGTTTTACAGAATCCAGTATTAATAATAATATTATAATAATAATAGTATGAGTCATACAAATGAAATGGATAAATCTACAACATCAGCAACGACAAGGTTATCTAATCGTAATTCAAGAAAACCGCCAACTACTAGTAACGATAGTAACGATAGACTCTAGAGATACTATTTAAACACAGCGTCTTTTTGCCTGTCTCGTCAATTGTTTACTTATTATTTTAGAAGATTATTGCAGAGATTTGTGTTTTACATATGTATATATATATTGGATTGATTAATCATCGCTTCATATTGCACTATTCATTGATTTTTGTTGCTGTTGTTGTTGTTGTGTGCATATAAAATCTACTTTCATCAATCTCTGTGGTGTTTGATTGCATTTAGCTCTTACAGGTGTATGTATGGATAGAATAAAGAGAGTTGGAATGTAGGCAAAGGTACTGACGATCTCCATATACATATATATAATTACATCTGGTTTGCTTTATTTTTAATTTTTTTAATTATTTTGAATTAATAGGTATATATAATTTTATTCAATTTGAAACTCGTTCATATTGTGTAGTTAACTTTTAATCATATTTTTCTTCCTATTACCTTTTTATTGTACACACTAATGGAATCATGCTGACTTAATGCTTTATTGATATTGATATTGGTACTTAATAATTATAACTTGTAGTTATTATGAATGCAGCCAATATCTACATATATATACTGAATTGTATCGCAAGCCCTATTATTATTATTATTATCATTATTATCGCTAATTCAACTGTTTATATCGCAGTGTTGTACAGAGTTTATATATTGCATTTCTTTCTTTCTTTCTATGTAAAATCATCGGACTATAAATGAAAGTCATTGAATCTCAGTGAGCATGTGTATATACATAATTGCTTATAAGAAATAAAACAAGTTTGCTTGTGTATATGTGATGTGGCTTTTCGTTTTGTCTATTTTTTGTTGTTGTTGTTGAGTATTAACAAAAAGAGGAAACAAGTAGAGTTAGGTGAAGAGGTGCTTCTTTTTTGGGGGGCGAATTCTTTGTCTTTAGATGTAAAATCGTATTTATATAGAATTCTTCACGAAAGTAGGTAGTAACATGAGTGAGGAGTTGTCACAGTCATAGTTTCAACATGAACTGACACTGGTTAGAGAACCATTGGAAAATCTGGGAGAGCTGTTTTGTCCTACTTTGAAGAGTCACAAACCGGGACGAAACGGCTGTCCAGTACTCACAGGTTTTCTTATTATCTCAAGAGGGAGGAGCTCAGTGATTGTACTGGAGGTACGTAGTGAGATGAATAATTTGATGAATAAGTTATAATCAGGATGCACATAGAGAAACGAAGGAAATTATGGATTTGCGTAACAGTTCCAAAGAAATATTGAGTTAAAACAAAAATTCAGGTAAGTAGAAAATAAAAAGATTGTAAGCACTATAGTGGAATTGGTCAAATAGATTCCTCTTCTATGCAGAGCTCTGGTTTTTCTGTCTAAATGACTGCAGCTTCATCAAGATCTTCGTCACTGTTGGGCGTTTGTTTTCTTTCGTTTATGCAGTTGCATATCAGACTACCAATGGGAATTTTCGCAGCTCTATGTAGTCCTAATTATCACTTGTTATTGAAAGAGGCTGTATGTTTCTGTCACGGAGAGCACACAGTAACTGATTGATTGACTAAGCTTTCAACGTAGAAGCTCAGTAGTTCAATTCTCTTGTAATTCATATGGCACACAAAGGTAGAGGAAATAGCTCAAAGGAGCCATAACGGCAGTATGCTCGAGAAAGACGAAGTATTCGGAGAATAATAAGAATTTGATAGATCATAAGGAGTGAATGCATCTGCTCTACTGAGAACCAATTCGAACCATGTCATCAAAAGTCTTCAACCATAATTGTTGTCTTTTAAAAAAAAATCATGCGCTAATAGTCAGATTCGTAAATTAATTCACAATTTACAGAGTTCGAGGTAAAATTTCACTGTAGTTTCCTTCGGAAATCGAAATTCTTCTTCTTCTTGATACTATGAATGGTAATCAAGGAGGCGAGCAAAAATGCATGATGCCATATATTACTGATTAGTTGAAGTGAGTAGTTGGATACTATTCAAATCAACCAGTATTGTTTGCTACCCAGATTGAAGTAATCGACAACACCGGACTGCTAATCCGCTTGTTTGGGGCCGAGCTCACTAGTGGTGCACTTGGAACTGAGTGAAGTGATTTTGTTGGTTTGTGTGCGACGTCAGTTCCTAAAGGTTTGACGAGTCTTGCAGTGATTTCTGATATATCCTTTATATATGGCAGGGCGACTTTCTTTGTGCTTTCCTTAGGGGCTTTTGGTTTGATAGGTTGGCTTGGGGTTATATGCCTTTTGATGAAATTCCGTGGATATCCATTCTTTTGGAGTTAGATAAAACTCACAACTTAATAAACAACGTCTTCTACGACATAAAATTCACAAGAGAAGAGGAATCCGAGAACAAAATCCTATTTTTGGACGTCTTAGTCAAGCAAACAACAACAGGGGAATTAGAAACCCAAGTTTATAGAAAATCAACTCATACAGATCAAATACTGAATTACAAAAGCAACAATCCAATAACACACAAAAGGAATTGCATACAAACACTATTCAAGAGGGCCAGTACTCATTGCAGCACTCCCACCTTAAGGAAGATTGAAGAAAGATATCTCATGGACGTCTTCCAAAAGAATGGATATCCACGGAATTTCATCAAAAGAAATATACCCCCAAGCCAACCTATCAAACCAAAAGCCCTCAAGGAAAGCACAAAGAAAGTCGCCCTGCCATATATAAAGGACATATCAGAAATCACTGCAAGACTCGTCAAACCTTTAGGAATTGACGTCGTACACAAACCAACAAAATCACTTCACTCAGTGGTGTACTTGGTTTGATTGAGCTCAGAGAGCGCCCTGAATCAATTCGAATTACCCGATTTCTGGCTAGCTACTCGGTGGAACCCGTAATACGTTAGGTCAGATTCTCAACTTGCAAATTCCGCACTACTAGTCGACAACAGAGTCGGTGGCACAGCGGTTAGGACGCTCGCCGACCATGCATATGGTCCGGGGTTCGTATCTCGGCCGACGCTCTCCTTTACCTGGCTAAGTCAGAAATAATGCTGGTCAAGAGGAAAGGTTGGGCATGAGGCTTGCAGCCCCATCCTGTAAAAATAGACACTGCTACAGAAACTTCAAGCTTTTAGCTTGAAGCCCTATGTTCCACTGGGAACGTGAAGGAATAAAAAAAGTCGACAACAGTGATATCCAACTATTGATCTCATTGAGTCAGTAGTGTATAGCGTTATGCACCAATAAATTGTATGAAAATTTCCTCCTTAAGACATTTAGTTTAGTGATTATTCACCTCCTTCGTCAGTAGTATTTTGCGTCTCTAGCATCCGGTAAAAATATTCGTTTTATATGTGTTGGAAAGTATATCCCTCAATTAATCTATCTTGATAACGGATGTTTCTCCAATGACTTTACCGTTCGTCTGGATGTTTTTCAGGGTTGAAAACAAGAATAAAACCGCTATTTGTTGTTTTTGATTTTCGGCGGATTTTTTAAAACAAAATTCTAGTATTATGTAAAATTACACTATAGACGAATAGTTATGTCTCATGTTCTAGTGTATGTGTATAGCCAAAAACGAAATTAATTACAGTCGGTTAGTAATAATAGTAATATGTGAAAAACGGATTTTATTTTGTGAACTAATTCATATAGGTGCGTATATATTCTAGCTGAATGTGTATGAACACGACAGGAGGTAAGGAGGCATATTATATATATATATGTTATTGCTTTAAATTTGTTTTCAAATTTTACACAGTGATAGTTTTCTGTGGGAATGGGTTTATAGCAAGCACTAAAAACGCAGAATCAGAATACACTAATTTGTGATGTTACACACATGTTTGTACGCGTATTTATCATTTTTGTTTTACATGTAGACCTGTTACTGTTACTAAGTTATGTATGTATTTGTTCACATAAAACAAGACGATATGCGAATAATAATAATAATAATAATAATAATGTAACGATGAGAATTTTCAATCAATGCAAATTTGGTAGGCTATAGAAGTTTCATCAGAATTAGCGTGTATTTCAATTGAATCTCTGCATTGATTTTTAGATGGTTGTAGGCAATCAGCAGGAAGCCTAAGGCATAGGTTTCGTGTTTATTGGCACTCATCAATCAGCAGTCTTGAAGGGACTCTTCTCTAATTCGAACCCGTGTCACTGCATTCAGAGACGTTAGCATTGAGCTATTCGCGGCTGACCTCCTGTAGGACTGTATTGGGTACTTCGATTTGACATTAGATGGTAACAGTTGTCAAGCATCTAGTCCTTTTTTTGGTACGGATTAAATTATACCAGTCTCTGAGTGGAGTATTGATTGACCCGGACTCGAATCTCAGTGGTTAGGACTCTCGCCGACCATGCACATGGTCCGGGGTTCGATCCCCTGCTGGCGCACACCCGATATCTATGGTCGGCCTGAATTTGGGCTACCGATATCCATGCTGAAAATTCCACACTTGTACTGGAAATACGGTGTGGAATCAAGCTGTAAATCAAAATAAAAAAAATAATAAAATAAAATATAGATGACATGAGTATCTTGGAGATTGTGGATACACCTTACTGACTAACACGAAAACTAGGTCCAAGACTTCCTGCAATTTCCTTGAACCCCTTAATACCAATCCAGAGTGCACCGGGATGGCAAGGCACCTGGTATGGTGGTTGCATTGCAAACTTGGCAGGTAGAATCTAGCCGGTACCAAATGAAGGATTTGACACATGACATGAAACATGTTGCTAATTAAAGTTCAATCTGTTCACCTGTTCCCATACAAATATCAGGTGAATCGAAAGTACTTCTAAGTTATTGTGAGTATAAAGAAGCAATTGCAATGTAAATATCAAAGATGTATCATGCATATTCTGACCTTTTCACTGTGGTATACTATAATGTGACCATCTGTTTTCCAATTCCTGGAAAATCCCCAACCAGTCTCTAGTAAAATATTGAAACAAGTAGTTCAACGAAGAGGAGCTTTCAGCGATATTATTTTCTCTACTTATACAATCACATTTGTATGCTACTATTATGGTCTCCAACGAGTTAGTCTTGTTATTTAGTTTTTAACTCTGCCTTTTCTTTCACTTTCCAATACAGCATCGTTTAAACTACAGGTGGAACGGATGAGGATGTCGAAGGCAGGACCAGGAAATCAAGACAGACCTTCATTAATCTGAAATCAGTGTGGAAATCTACTGGACTCAGCATACTGAATAAGATTCGAAATGTTAAAACTAACGTCAGATCAACCAATGCTTCTATGTGGAAACTTGATATATTTATTCCTATTAATGAATTTAAATAAAGCAAGAACAGCAGTTTTTGCAGA